AGCAATCAAACAGGTTCCTCAGATTGATCAATAGAATTGCTGTCTGCGTCAGTGCACCGATGGAATAAATTTGTTGCCCAATTTTTTATCCTACCAAATACTGTAGTAACAGAATTGGTATTGATGGCAATAGATGATAGTAGTTGGCTTAAGACCTGAATCAAGATGTTAATAAGGTGTATAGCGAAGAAAAGCCACACAAGGAATGAGACCAAGGCAATATATGGGTTGTTGATCCAAATGAGTAAAATTACTGCTAATGAAACTTTTAAAATGGAGATAGTTGTCATAATTTCAGTGCAGTGGAAGTGGGAGCGATCTCTTCCTCCTTGCAGACCAACATCGGCAACAAATGTTATGGTGCACAGTATCATCATTACAATATATGTGGACGGCAAAAAAGATTGCGAGGGCGGAAAAAGAACCGAGAGTTGAATTAAAGGAGCAAAAGCAGTTGTTAGCAGCAGGCCCAACATGGTGGTGTTTAGGGCAGAAAAGGAGTCTCCCAGCCTGCAAATCCAAACCGCAAGGCAAAGTTTATTAGAAGGCCCAATATGGAACCGGGCTTAATGTAATGAAATTAAACTACCAGCTACCTTTTTTTCCAGGATTTGGGAATTTGTTGGCACAATTTACCTTATGCACATGAGTAAATTCACAAATCCTTAAAAAAAAAAAGCAGCTGATAACAGCTACTTTTTTCTCCAGGATTTGGGAATTTGTTGGCGCCATTCACCTTATGCACTGAGCAAATTCACAAATCCTGAAAAAAAGCAGCTGATAACAGCCACCTTTTTCTCCAGGATTTGGGAATTTGTTGGCACCATTTACCTAATGCACTGAGCAAATTCACAAATCCTGAAAAAATAGCAGCTGATAACAGCGACTTTTTTCTCCAGGATTTGGGAATTTGTTGGCACCATTTACCTTATGCACATGAACAAATTCACAAATCCTTAAAAAAATGTAGCTGTTAGCTATAACTTACCTAATTCATGTAACACTTAATCATACCTAAGGTAATTATAACCCATAGTTCAACTTTATTACAGTAAATTGTAACCGGATAATATAGGTTGGGAAAAAAGCAAGAGGTAAAGTATTGTTGCCGCAAAAACGGTTGTGCTAAACAATCTCGTGAAAGCCCAGAGCTCATACCTCGGAATTGGAAGATTTTGGCTGGCTGAAGACATCATTGTGCAAACTGCAGAGTAGATTGACTGAAACTTGAAAGAATAAAATCTTCGTCGATGGCGTGATGCAGGCTCAGAGGAGGGAAGAAGAAGACAATCGAAAGAAATAAAGACTTGAAACTCTTCAAAATATGCCTCCTAATATATAGAGGTTTTTTTTTTAAAGTTCCCTTCCCAAACAGTTGGTTTGGGCTCTGGGACCCATGGGGAAAGGAAATCACGAGGAAGGATAAACAGTTGGTTTGGGCAACTAGATCAATGTAAAAACGATATATCATTAGGGCTCGTAATGATATATCGTTTTTACATTGATCTAGTTGATAGGGCTCGTAATGATATATCCTTTCTACATTGATCTAGTTGCCCAAACCAACTGTTTGGCCTATTAATCACTTAATCACTTGACAAGGATTTCGCAAGGTTAACCTTTGGAAGATACATTTATACCTGCACAGGTACCCCTTAGGAAAAGATGTGGGACCTTATAGGAGGGAATGGGACAAGACCTTGAAAATTTCTCAAATTCTGTAAATCAACTTTTAAATACTTAATTTATTTTAAATTAAATCTTGAATCTCTAAAATAAAAACAGTATAAATAAGTTTTTAAACTTTTTAAATAATGTAAATTAACTGTTAAATCTCTTAAAAGATACAAATAAACTCTGATAATTAACAATTTTTATTACAATTATATAACGATAAGTCTCACCATAATACATCAAGATTGATACCAATAGTGTATGTATTAGCAATTGTGTAGCTGTCTTTCTGTCTAAAGACATTTAAACAACTAAAATTCACAATTAGTTTAGAGGATAGTGTATCATAGGTTGTTTTCTTAAAATATAATAGAAAATATGTTTATAAATTTATTTTTAATTAATATTTT